TGGAGCGGCGTCTGGGCGCGTGCGGGGCCGCCTGCCAGGAGCCGGGGGCTTCCGCCGCGCCCCCGCTGGTCCCCGGGAGTCTGGTCTCCCCGGGCGAGGCCGCGCCTGAGACCCTCCGCAGCCTGCAGGTAAGGGCGACCCGGGTGGCAGTCTGCGCTTTCTCCTACTGCTCTCTTCGCGAGTCTGGAAGGGTGTGGACGGAAGCGGGGCGCTTCCAGGGCTCCCTGAGCTCTCTCTCCTGCTTAGGCGACGAAAGACGGAGAGTTGGAAGGACAGAGGAGTAGATGATGCAGAGCTTGGCGGCAGAAGGCTGCGTCCTCACCATGGTTTTCACACTCTCTCCAGACCCAGCTCAAGGCTCAGAACAGCCGGATCGAGCAACTCTTCCAGAAGGTGGCCCAGCAGCAGCGGCACCTGGAGAAGCAGCATCTGAGAATCCAGAATCTGCAGAGGCAGGTACCAGATGCTTGCGCCAGAACGGGAGGGAGGGGAGGTCGAAGCTGGACCTGTGGGTCTGGAGGAGAGTGTCAGGTTTGACTGGCTTACTCTCCTCCCACCTTTCCCAGGTGGGCCTCCTGGCCCCCATCAACTTGGGCCGCGGGGTGGCCAAGCCTGCCCGGAGGAAGAGGCTGCCCAAGATGTCCCAGCTTGTTGGCCCCACTCACAATATAAGCCACCTGCACAGTGAGTGTCCAGCCCTTTGCTGTCCTCTGGCAGCTCCTCCCTCCACACACGGACACACACTGGCCATTCCTGTATCCCTCCTTGTCATGTACACTTGACTTGAGAAGGAGAGAGGTCCCGGCCTTGGGTCCCCCTGGGCTCTGATGAAGGGCTGATGGGGGCACCTCCCTCAGCTCTGTCCCTGATGCCCCACCTTTCTTGCCAGTGGGCCAGTGGGTTTTCCCCAAAGCCTTGCTGGCCACTAATAGAGCCGGGGTTGGGAGAGAGGGACTTGGGCTGTAGAAGTGCAGGGAAAGGGGTGCTGCAGCTCAGGGACACCTCCATGTAGGTTGGAACTTTATAGGAGGACATGATGGTGGAAGGGCTTGATGGTGGCAAAGAGGGTGTCAGCTAGGGAATCTGGAGTCCTTATTGGTGAACAGCAAATGCCTGTCTGGGAGAGGGGAGAGGGGTTCTAAGGCTTGAACTGTGGATCTAGGAGGTGGAGCAAGGGCAACGGACCCCTATCTCTCTGACCAGGGGCATTCACTCTTTTGTCGTTGTTAATCCTCACTGGAGGATATTTTTCCCCCATTGACTTTTGACTTTTAGAGAGAGTGGAAGGGGAGAGTGGAAGAGAGAAACATCTCTGAGAGACATACATCAATTGGTTGCCTCCTGAACTTGCCCGACAGGGGTGGGGATGGAACTTGCAACCGAGGTACATACCCTTGGCTGGAATCGAACCTGGGACCCTACAGTCTGCAGGCTGATGCTCTAACCACTGAGTCAAACCGGCCAGGGCCAGACGCATTCATTCTTGCATCTCTGACAAGTCCAAGGCTGCTGACCCTTGCTCCCTGACCCCTCTCTTGGCTTCAAATTGCCTGATCACCCCCATTTTCTATCCCCCCACTTCCACAGAGAGCTAGCCATTGCCAGCATTTGGAATTCTGGGTCTTATCTGGATGTATGCTTGAAATTGACCCAAATTTCCAATCACATGGCTGTGTATGTCAACTCAGGCTCCCAGCTTCCCATGTCTCTGCCCCACCTTAAGTTCATGGCCCCAGAGTAGCTGACTTCCCCCTGGTCCTCCTACCCTGTTACCCTGCCTGGCATCTGTGGCTGTTTGCAGCCAACTGGGTAAAAGTTCAGATCCCTCCCCTCACACCCTCAGGCTGGTTGATGGCTTCCAGCCCTCTAGTTTTGAGGGCTCCCCTCACCCCACCGCTCCCCCAACTCCTGTCAGAAAGGTTCCAGTACACCCTCCCAAACTGCTGTCTTGGGATGAGGGCCTTCTGGGATGGGCCAGTAGGTATAGGTCCAGGTTAAGGGATGTGGAAGGGATTATAGGGGGAAACTGGTGGATTTGGGGACTCCCAGACTCCAGCTTAGTTCTGCCAAGTAGGGGAAAGTTCAGAGCTGGAGAGAAAAACAGCTGGTGTTAATGGAAGCCACATTGGTGGTTTGGCCAGGTGCCTGTCCTGATTGGAAGGGAGGAAAGTAGGGGAAAGAGGAGCTGCCCCAGGGGCCGGAAAGTGTCTCCAGTCACTCTGGGCTGGCCCCCACTCCTGCAATGGTTAGGACACACTCACCCCTTGTCCTGGGCCTTCACAACCCATCCCCCCTTCCTGCCCGTGACCTTTCCCCTACTTTCTTTGCTGGGCTGGGAGTGGGACTTCCCACTAGCTGTAACCATCCCTCCTTCCTCACCTCCTCCCTCCCTGTCTCCCTCCCCCTCTCCCTCCCAGTCTCCCTCTCTACTCCTTTCCTCCTCCCTCCCTGTCTCCCTCCCTCCTTCCTTTACTCTTCAATCATTCAACTCCCCCTCTGATACCTGGGACTCCAGGCAGGGCCTCTGTCTTCCCAAGTCCCATCAGGACTTGATCTGAATCCCCCACTAGACAAAGCAAAGCCTGTCCAGCTCAGCTCAGCTTTGGCCTCCCCACCCTGCCCCCCCCATCTAGCTCCTGCAATCATTCATTTATCAATCATTCATTCATTGTGTTTTTATTAAACACCTGCTGTGGACTAGGGTCAGCCAGGGCACTGGGCCAAGTACATTCCCTGTTTCTGGCCTCATAGAGGCCTCATTCAGTGAAGGGAGTGTGGGAAAGGCAACCAGATGACCCTAGTGTAGGGAGTGGGGAGTCCTTGATGCCCATTTCTGGGTGTCTGACCTGGTCTGGGGTGAGGGATTTCCTCCAGAACCTGAGACTTTTAGAATGAAGCAGAAAAAGGCATGAGGGAAGAGGGTCCTAGGTAAGCATGTACAAAGGCCCTGTGGCAGGAGCATGTGTAGGACAAGGAAAGCTGTGTGGCCAGAAGGTGGGCATGCAGTGTGGGAGGAAGGAGGATGGGTGCAATCCTAGAGCACCTTGTAGTGAGTGTTGAAGAGGGAGTCATGGAAGAATTTAGGCAAGTGTAAGAGGAGGGCATCATGATCTCAGGATTGCCCCTTAATATCCCTGTTGCCCACTGCACAGATTCTACATACGCCTGTTTCTTGAGACTCCCAGGACTGCTCCCTGCTTCAATCTCCCCACCCCTCTCTTTGCCCTGTAGGGCTGCCCAGGGACTGCCAAGAGCTGTTTGAAGAAGGAGAACGGCAAAGTGGACTATTCCAGATCCAGCCTCAGGGGTCTCTGCCTTTCCTGGTTAACTGCAAGATGAGCTCCGGTAGGACATGTTAGCCCTCCAGGGAACTGTTGTCTTTCTGTCAAATGTAGCCCGCCTCCCTCACTCCCACTTCCTCCTTCCCTGCTGAGTCCTGGGGACAAAGATCTAGGCTGAGCCTCTGGGCTGCTGGCCAGCCCACAGTATTCCTTCCTTTGACCACCTTCCTCTAGTCCTGCTGGGATGAATGAAGGAGCATTGCTCCCCCTAGGTTTGGAGGTGCTATGGGGTTTTGGAGTCAGATAGAGGAGTTGGAGTCCCCTGTGGGAAGGGAAGGGTCCTCCTGATGACCTTGTACCTATCTGGGCAGATGGAGGCTGGACCATAATTCAGAGGCGTCAAGATGGCTCTGTGGACTTCAATCAGCCCTGGGAAGCCTACAAGACTGGCTTCGGTGATCCCCAAGGTGGGTGTTTCCAGAAGCCAGAGGCACAGGGGGAGGACGGGGTTGTGGAGGTGGGCCCCTGTCTCACCAATGACTTTTCCCACTGTAGGAGAGTTCTGGCTGGGCCTGGAGAAGATGCACTTGATATTGGGGGACCGTGGCAGCCACCTGGCTGTGCAGCTGCAGGACTGGGAGGGCAATGCCAAGTCGTTGCAGTTCCCTATCCGCCTGGGTGGTGAGGACACAGCCTATAGCCTGCAGCTAACCGCACCCATGGCCAGTGAGCTGGGTCCCACCACTGTTACACCCAGTGGCCTCTCCCTGCCCTTCTCCACTTGGGACCAGGACCACGACCTCAGCAGGGACAAGAACTGTGCCAAGAGCCTCTCTGGTGAGTAAACTCTGTCCATCCTCATCTTGCCTGCAGGGCCTCCTCTCCCTGCCTTTATGCTTCTCTGCCCTGTCTTCAACTCCAATTCTATCCATTACCCTCTTTTCCTTACTTGCTGTGTGCCCTTGCTGACTTAATCTCTCCCATCTTCAGTTGCCCCATTTTAAAAATGGTTATAATCACAGTGCCCACTCCATAGGATTATTATGAAAATTCAAGGAGATGACATTTGTTGGATAGTGGCTGGCATGTGGTAAAGCCACCAAGGCAAACTTCACCTTGATTTAATGAAATCAAAGGCTTTGTGAAGTGAAACACATCAAACTGCTTTGAAAGGTCACTGGTTCAATTCCCTGGTCAGGGCACTTGCCTGGGTTGTGGGCTCGATCCCCGGTAGGGGGAATGCAGGAGGCAGCTGATCACATAGAGTTTTTTCTCTCTCTCTCTGAAAACCAATAAACTATTCTTAAAAAAAAAAAAAGAAAGGTGGAGCCCTGGCCAGTGTGGCTCAGTTGGTTGGAGTGTCATCCTGTGCACCAAAGGGTCATGGATTTGATTCCCATTCAAGGCACATATGCAGGTTGTGGGTTCAGTCCTCCTGGTTGGGAGGCAACCGATCAATGTTTCTCTCTCTCGCCCTCCCTCTCCCTTCCCCCCTTCTCTAAAGTCAATAAAAACATATCCTTGGGTGTGGATTAAAAAATAATAAAAAATAAATACATTTAAAAAATGATGGAATACTGGTAATTTCATTTGGTTCAATCTAACATAAATTGATGAGACAGATGACAATCAAAGTCTTTAATGAATGTTCGTCATGTGTCAGGTGCAGAGAAGTGACTTGCCATGGTCACAGATGTGAAAGTTATGGTTACTGGGTCGGGGGGCCCAAAGTCCCCGAGTCCCTCTGTTACAGCCTGGGGTCCTTCAGGATACAATTTGACAGCCACTGCCAAAGCCCTCCCATCTAAAGTGTATAAAGTCCAATGCCTAGCCTCATCCCCGTCCCAGCCCCAGTGGTTAGGCCCCTCTTAACCATATTCCTTTTTTTCTGACCCCCGAAGGTGGCTGGTGGTTTGGTACCTGCGGCCACTCGAACCTTAATGGCCAGTACTTCCGCTCCATCCCTCGGCAGCAGCAGCAGCGTAAGAAGGGCATCTTCTGGAAGACCTGGCGGGGCCGCTACTACCCGCTGCAGGCCACCACCATGCTGATCCAGCCCATAGCTGCTGAAACAGCCTCCTAGCCTCCTTGCTGGGGCCTGGTCCCAGGCTCCTAGGGGACAGTGACTTTGATTCTGGCCCAACACGTGGCCATTCCCTGCCTGGGCAGGGGCCGTCTGGAGCCTTGCAGACAGAGAAAAAGCCTATGACTGGAGAGACCCCCCTTTTTTAGTGGGGGACTGCAGGTGATATCCTCTGAGAAGGACGGAACTGCAGGGCACACACCACAGAATCGTGGGACCAACGGGCATTGAGGTCTTCTCCTTGCCTACCCAAGGAGTGGGGAACACAGAGAGACCACGAAGGGGCAACCAGGCCAGCCCTCAACGGTAGATTCAGTCATGTTGACTGGCTAAGGGACCAGGGCGCCCTCACGGTGCTGTTGTATGTGGGTGCTGTGGGACAAGCCCGTGCCACATGGTGTCTGGGCAGAGCTCACAGAATAAAAACAACCTCAGAACATTTCATTCTTCTTTGTCCTTAGGTTTGTTAAAAGTGGACAGTTTCAAAATCCATGTAAACATGTTCTCAGGGTAGAGGTGAACACTCCCTGGTCTGTTAAGGACAACACTGGTTATTCCTACCACCTCTGAAAACTGATTTTAATTTCCTTCATTTATTATTTCATGATGTATATGTCATTTTTATTTTCAAAATTTAAAAACAAAGCTCTCATTCCTTCCTTCTGGAAGCAGGTAATAGAGAAAATTAGAACACCCTCCTGATCATACTTAATGTATGTGAATCACCGTTAACCTCTCAGTTTCCCACCAACTGATAAAAATGTGTGAGTAACGTGTTTATTTTTTCTAGCAGTCACATTTTTTAAAAGTAAAAAGAAACAGGTGAAATGAATTTTAGAAATATATTTTATTGAATCCAATAAATCAAAAGTATTGCTATTTCAATATGTGAGCAACATAAAAGTTATTAGTGAGATATTTGACATTGCTTTTTTGTACTAAATCTTTGGAATCCGGTATGTATTTTACATTTATGGCACATCTGAATTTGGACCAACCATATTTCAAGGACTCAACAGTCACAGAGGCCAATGACACATATTTGGACAGCACAGCTTTAATGTGTACATTAATACAATGTTTGGAGGAAATTCACTTTTTTGGGGCCACATCTGCATGTTTTATTTATTTATTTATTACTTTTTTTAATATATCTTTATTGATTTCAGAGAGAAGAAGGGAGAGGGAGAGAGAGAGAGAAACATTAATGATGAGAGTCATTGATCGGCTGCCTCCTGTACTCCCTGTACTAAGGATCGAGCCCGCAACCCTGCATGTGCCCTGACCTGGGAATCCAACTACGATCTCCTGGATCCTAGGTCAGTGCTCAACTGCTGAGCCATGCCCGGCCAGGCTGCATGTTTTCTTTTAAATTGGCTTTAAAAATATATACATAGAAATTCAACTAATACTTACCAAGCACATGCTAAAGCCCTATACTAAGTGCTTGGGATTCTGGAGTGAAAGAAGAGACCCTGCTGGCACCAAGACCCTTCCATTACAGATAGGGTGACCTATAATTGATGGTCAAAACTGAGACACTTGTTAAGAGTGAAAGGGGGTGTGCTGTTAATAATTAAGCCGGGTGGCAAACATAAAGCAGCTCACTCCCAGGCATATCAGGATTTATTGACTCAGTTTTATTATTTATTTAATTGTTTTTAAATAATAGTTTATTTTTAAAAAGTGATTTTTAGAAACAAGGGGGGGGTGGGAAACATTGATTTGTTCTTATTTATGCAATTATTGGTTGAGTTTTTTAAAAAAAAATTTAAAGAGTTTTATTTTTTAGAGATAGTGGAAGGGAGAGAGAGAGAAACATTGATGTGAGAGTACAACATCAATCGGCTGCCTCCTGCATGGCCCCTACCAGGGTTTGGGCCTACAACATGGGCATTTGTCCTGACAGAATCAACCTTTCAGTGCATGGGACGATGCCCACCAACTGAGCCACACTGGCCAGGGCTACTGGTTGATTCCTGTATGTGCCCTGACTGGGGATCAAACCCACAACCTTGATGTATCAGGACGTTGCTCTAACCAATTGAGCTACCTGGCCAGGGTCTTGACTCTGTTTTTAAAAATGTAAACAGAGCCCTGGCTGGTATGGTTCAGTGGTTAGAGCTTGGCCAGCGCACCAAAGGGTCCTGGGTTCTAGTCCCGGTCAAGGGCATGTCCCTGGGTTGCAGGTTCAATCCCTGGCTCTGGTTGGAGTGCTTTCGGGAGGCAACCAATTGATGTGTCTCTCTTACATCAATGTTTCTCTCTTTCCACCCCTCCCTCCTTTCCACTTTCTCTAAAAAGCAATGGAAAAAATATCCTCGGGTAAGGATTAACACCCCCCCAAAATAATGTAAACACAGAACAAAGATAAGGAAAAAAAAACAACAACCCTGAAAACCTGCCCTAGCAGGTTTGGCTCAGTGGTTGGAGTGTCAGCCAACCCCCGGAATGAAGGGTCTGGGTTCAGTTATGGTCAATGGAATGTACCTCCTTTGCAGGCTCAATCCCTAGAGGCAACCAATCAATGTGTCTCTCTCACATCAATGTTTCTCTCTCTCCCTCTCTCCCACTCTCTCTGAAAAGCAATGGAAAAAATATCCTCAGGTGAAGGGGGGAAAAAAGAAAAAAAAATGTAAACACATATCTCTACAACATATGGAAAACCAATATCACCTGCCATAAATATATTATTAAAAAAAAGTCAATGAAAATAAAACAATGCCAATGCTTTGAAATTCCAGCTAGGAAACTGATGTATGGTAGGAAACACACGCACACACATGCATACACACAAATAGTGGCTGGCCCTGGGAGCGCAGAATGGGACTTACTGGGAAGGGGCATGAGAGAAACTTCCCGAGTTATGGTGATGCTTAAACCTTGATAGAGATGGGTGTATGCCTTCGTCTCAGCGAATGTACACTTAAGATCGGTACATTTCATTGTATGTAAATTTTACCCCAAAAGAAACTACTAAAAGAGCCATAAACAAATATTGAAGTGTAGTTAATGATATGCATGCCAAAGTGTTTAGAGGTGAAGAGAATTCGCCTTCAATTTTCTGTTTTAATTTTTTCAGCTGTATTGAGATATAATTGACATAAAATTGTGTAACTTTATATATTTCCAAAATGATGACCACCATAGCATTAGCTAACACCTCTATCACATCACATAATTGCCATTTCCTTTTTTGTGGTGAGAACAATTAAGATCTACTCTCTTAGCAAGTTTCAAGCATATGGTATAGTATTATTAACTATAATCACCATGCTATACATTACATCCCCCAAATCTTCAACTTTCTTTGAAATCCATCAAAAAGTAAGATGATGGATGGGTGGATAGAGAGCTAGATATGTGATAAAGCAAAATGCTGTACTAATAGTGGGATCCAGGTGGTGGGGATCCAGGGGGATATGAATACAGAGATATTCTCTGTACAATTCTTTCCGTTTTTCTAAATGCTTAAAAATTTCACAATAAAATGTGAGGAAGAAAATCCTAGCCAGATTCTGTTGCCTTCTGCAGACTCAGTCTATGTCCCAGCTCTGTTTAAAATGAGAGAGATGAGGGTTAGAAAATTGTTCAAGAGATATGAGCCACAGAGAGAAAGCCTCCCTTCTTGATGGGTAATAAAGGATTTTAAGAATTGAAAAAAGAAAAAAATGAAAAAAGATAGGACTTTCTCAGCATGTGGTTCAATGTTATTTAATGAACCACCTAAAATTATCACCCAGCTCATATAGCCTGGAATAAGTAATGTGATCTCTTGTCTCCAGGACACATGTTAGAGAAAAACACCTCTCTATGCCCTGAGTCCCAGTTGCCTCTTCCTGGAACATGCTGGGGACACAATAGCTTCCCTGGAACCCTTGTTGAATATGGGCCACGAAGTCCTCAGCTCTGTGGGCCAAGCCCTCTCCAGGCTCCTTGTCTGGGGATGTCCCATACCAGGCAGGCTTGGAGAGTCTCTCTTGAGCCTACTTTGCCTGAAAACTGGTAGGAAGTTCCAACTGTGGAGGTGGAGGGGTGGTCCCACCAGCTTTGCCCTCCTAATTCTCAGGCTCTTCCAAGAGGGCTTAACTCCCCAACCTGTCCCTTCTCCTGCTATCACCACCTCCTCCAACACAGCATTTTCTGTCCCTCCACCCCAAAGAACAACACAAAGAATAACCCCGCCATAGCTGGGAACCAAACAAAAGTCAGGATGTGAATCCAGACCTGTCTAACTCCATAGCCGGAGCGCTTACCCACATCCATCTTCTAAGTGACTAAGGACAGCCTCTAAAGCTCTGTGGCCTCCATCCTCCATCTGGAAAATGGGGATGGTTCTGGTACCCCAGCCCCCTACTCCTACCACCCCTTCCTATTCTTCTGGTGCTGTGAGGATTTCAGGCTCAATCCCTCACCCAGGTCGGGGCATGTGCAGGAGGCAACCGATCTACATGTCTCTCTCACATCAATGTTTCTCTCTCTCCCTCTCTGTCTCCCTTCCACTCTCTCTGAAAAGCAATGGAAAAAAATCCTCAGGTGAAAATTAAAAAAAAAAAAAATCTACAAAGATGGGGTGGGGGTGGGGGGTGAGATTCCAGGAAGAGGTCATTGTGAGAGCAAAAGCCTAGTGGCCTGGGTGGAAAGTGCACAGCCCCACCTGGCTGCAGCAAGGAGCAGGAAGCTGGGATGGTGAGCTGAGGTAGAGTAGGGAGGGGTAAGCAGGGGGTTTGGCTGGACTGTGCAGGGCCAGAGGGTCTGTGCTGGTCTGACTTCCAGCCTCACCTTTTCACCTAATCTCACCTGGGGTCCTTGGAACTCACTCTCCAGCCACCATGTCCTCCTGGCTATTCAGACTCATCAGGCTCTCTCTCTCTCCCTTACTGTTGCACCCACCATCTACCATCTCCTCCCTCACCTTCGGACTCCATGCAAATACCACCTCCCTCAGGATGTCTTCCCTGACTCCCTAGCTAAGGAGCTCCACTATCACATAACCCAGGCTATTTTCCTCATTGTAGGCCTCCCATTCTGAAACTATCTTGTGTCTGTTCTTTACTTGCTTCTTGTCTACCTGTCCCCACTGTCAGCTCCATGAGGGTTGGGACTTTGTCTTATTCAATGGTGCGTTCCCAGCAGGTACAGCGCCCCCTGGCACTTAGTAGGTGCTAAGTAAATGCTTATTAAGGAAAGGACTAAAAGGTTTTTAAACAGGGGAGTGAGAGGATCTGACTCATGTTTTAAAAGACTCCCTCCGACTGCTGTGGGAAGAACAGCATGTGCATGTGGGCAGAGCAGGGAGATCTGGGAGGTCCAGAAAGTGATGATGGGGTAAGAACCAGGGTGGTGGCAGTGGAGGGACAGTGGAGAAGTGGTCAGAATACAGGAGGAAGGGGGGACATAGAAAGGCAACTAAGGGAGGGGGAGGGAGGCAGGGGCAGGAGAGC